TATAATTAAACATGGCTAAACATTTTCACTGAGTTCTTTTGAATCAATTAAGCTTCAATTAAATTCTATTTGTTAATAACTATTACATTAAAAATTTAAAAATATCAATTAAAATTCAAAACTTAGAATGTTCGAAAATTCTATTACTTTATAAAAAGTATAGCATTATGAAAAACATTACATAAAAACTTGCGTTAATTTTAAAATCAACCAATAAAAAAATTTTATTGATTAATTTTAAAACTAAAAAGCGTTTTTACGGTCCATTAGTAACGATTTTCATAATGCTAAACTTTTAATACGATACGTTTTCATAAAGTTGTTTGTCATGTTTTTATAAGTTATTTTAGTTTTAATATTATTTGAACATTTTATTCATCTAGATATTTTTCTACTTCAATTAAAATTTGGGAACACTAATGTTGCTTGAACAAAGAATAAATTTTAAAAGTTATAAGTTCGTTATAAAAGTAACAACACTATTATAGTGTTATTATTTTTGTAATGCAGTTAGTGACTAGAGTGTTATTACTTTTGTAATTGTAAGTTTATTGTTTTATTTTTTATTTTTTCGCTAACAAATTTAATTTGATTCTCCCCTTAAAAAACAAGGAACACAGTTTTGTATAAACTAAAATTTTGAATACTAGATATTTTTCCAGATTTTGCATTTTGCATTCGCTTAATTCAATCTGTGTTGTTACATTAAAATTATACAAATAAATTTTACAAACACATTGCAATTTGTATTTTTGCTATCCTCTTGAAAAAAAAGTAAAAAAAGGAAAATCATTCTTTTTATTATAGACTTCAAACTGTTTTTTTTTTTGCTTCGCCTTTGATCTAATTTTGTTGCTGAATGTAACTCTAAAGAAACAAAATATAAAAACAACAAATTATTTAAATTATTAATTTGTTTTCATTTTTTTTATTTTGTTAGTTTTGTTTTTTTGTTTTTGAAACTTTTTCAGCATTATTATAAAACTTGCAAACGGCCGTGTTCACATTTTCTAAAATATTATAATCGTGGTCATACGAGACGAAAAACCGCACGCCTTTCCTGGGAAGGCTTGATATATGTACATAATATATATATTTCAAGGAACATTTGTTAAGTCTCAAAATCTCAAAAAGTTGGACATTTTCAAAAAGTCCAACTTAACGAGACCTTTGCTTAATTAGGATATTCGTTAAGTCAGATAATAAATATATACCCCTTCAGAGTCCGAGTTAACGGGATTCTACTGTATATATTTCCTTCTTTAGAATTTTCCTTCCTTAGCATTTTTTTTCCTTATTTCCTTACTTTCCTTCCTTAGCATTTTTCTTCCTTACTTCCTTACTTTCTTTCCTTAGCATTTTTTTTCCTTACTTTCTTACTTTCCTTCCTTACTTTCCTTCCTTAGTATTTTCCTTACTTTTAAAAGATTACTAAGTAATTGAATTATAAAATTTTACAGTTTGGTAATTATTTTTTACTGCTTTTAAAATATCTCAAACTAAGTGACACGGTGTTTCACTCAATATAAAAGCGAGCTTGACGTCACAAGAATTTTTGTGTTTAAAAAAAAAATGAATATGGGCTACTAAAAGCGTTAAATGTTCTAAAACAGCAGAAACTTTGCGTTTATTAGGAAATCAATTTGTAGACATTGCAAATCTAAAGGCGCGATGGTTGGCTTTTAATAACAATTTTTTCGAATTAGAAAAAATATCCCTAATCTCCTCCAATAAAAAAACAACCTGTAAACAGCAAGAAATGTGTGCTAGTATCAGGTGTTTAATTACTAAATATGATTGTAACGTTGATTGGGTGCAGTGTATTACGTGCCAAAAATGGTTTCATCAATTTTGTGAAATTATTGGTGATTCAGAAAAGAGTGCATTGTGTGACATAGAGATGTACGAGTGTTTAGCGTGTCAGTGTGAATATATAGAATGTCTTGACCTTTATATTTCTGAAAAAATTTCTTTTATACGTGCACAAAGCGAAGTTTTAGACATTGAATATATTAAATTGCAGGTGGAGTGTGAAGACCTAGAAAAAATATCTAAAAGTAGCATGGAGACTCAGGAGAGGTCTCTTAATAAGGCCCTTAAAGATAAGGTTGAGCGACAAGCGTACCATGGTAATGTGTTTGTGGGTAATCATTGCAAAATAGTATTAAGAAACCACTATAAACTTTGTAGTGTTATTGATGATGAAGCTATTAAAATAGATTTGTACGTGTGTTTAGTGTTTTTAATAAGTTTCAACCTATTCTTTTTAAGCAAAAATTTCTTTCTGATGCCGAAATTACTGAGCTTCATCAATATATAAATTTATTTGCTATCGAGTTTCATGCTTGAAAAATCACGCGAAAAATGCATGAACTCATTTTTAATGTGCCACTTTTTGTAAAATTGCATAAAACTATTGTTTTGCTGAGTGAAGAGGAGGGAGAGTGTTTGCATAATAGGGTAAATAAGGAATTAAGACAGTTGCATTCAGTAAGAAGTCAGGAACAGAAGCTGCGTCTTGTTTTAAAACGCTTTGAATTGCACAGCAAAGCTGATAGGAAGCTTCAAGCCTCTAAGGTGAGAAAGTGTGTTGTGTGTTCTGAGCGTGGTGAAAATTCGTTTTATAGGCAAGGCCTTTGTCTTGTTTGTGGTCATAAAACTTAGTCTAAATAATTAAAAAATAAAGTTTTTAAAATATTTATTATTTTTTATTATTAATTTTATATATTAGATAGGTGCCCATTTCATTCTTATCTTCACAAGTTATTTATACTTATGCAATACCATCCAGGTTAAAGAATGGTACATAAGTCTTGCATCAAATGGGTATAAAAATATAGCTTACTACTTTAACTTATGAGCAGAGCAACTGGTAAGTTTGTTGGATATAAAGTATTAGTTTGTGTAGTTAATTTTAAAAATGTATTGTCATTTATTCTATGTAACATTTAATTTAAATATTAGATGCCCTTTTAATTATTATCATCAGAAGTTAGTTCTACCTCTGCAGTACCTCTCCTCAACATACCTTCTCTCTGGTTAAAGAATAGAATTTAAGTCTCATGAATAACAAGTTAGTGTAAAGATACAGTTTAAATAAAGAATTTGTAAAAGTTATTGTCACTATTGTGAGTCTGTTAAAAGCCATCTCTAATCTTGTTGAACAAAAACTATCTTCTAAAAACTAATCTTTTGGTTTAGAATGGAGCATGAATCTAATATCAACCGGGTGTTTAAAGATCGTTTTCTACTTAAAGGACAGAATCAGTAGATCAACTTATTATAAAACAGTTTTATATGAGAATAAAAACACATCAAACAAATAAAATTAGCTATTTGTTTATTTAAACAAATGTTTTATTTTTTGTGAGAAGAGATTGACTCAAGTGCCATAAAATAATTCTATTACCAAAAGCGAGGTTAATTCAAAAACTTTAACACAGTTGTGGTCATGAATTATTTTATTAGTCTTAGTGAGTCTTAATTTTTTAACAACTTAACACCATATTATTAAAACTCTATGCATAGAAAAAAAGAAATTGCTAAGGTTTTTTAAAGGCTTTAGCTTGGAATATTAAGACTAAATATTTCAAAATCGATATCTGGCTTTATTTTGTAATGCATTGAATTAGTGAATTTTTTTCATATTTAAAAACGTACTCACAGATAATTCCTCTTTAAACGACATTTTTAATAATTTTGCAAAAAATGCGGTTTGCTTGCAAACTTCAATTGTAAGTGTTTTTGTTAACCTTAAGCAATTAAGTAAGGTTTTTTTATTTTAATAATAGTCCAACAACGAGTGTAATTGATAATAACTATCAGAAATATATTTTTCTGATTTTTTTTTGATAAAAAGTAACAAGAAATTACTAAAATTTAGCCAAGTTCATCATTTATCGCGTTTTTTATAAACTAAAAGAAGTTTTTTTACTATTGTATTAAATATCGTATGATAAAACATTTTATTTTTGTTTTTATTCTTCTTACAAAACAAAATTATCTCAAATATTTCAAAAGTTATAAATGTTTTAGTAACACCCCCTAAGTAAATATTTTTAAAAAAAAACAAGAAGCAGTAAAGCTCACTCTGAAACAGCCGTGGTGAGTTACTAAATAACACAAATATTTTGGAATTTTATTTTTCTTGTTACAAAAAATTGATTTAATTGTAGGGGAAGATGCTGTTTCTAAACTTTTGCGTGGAAGGCTTTTAAAAAATGTTGTATTGCTGTTATGATTTGCTTAGTGCAACATAATATTTGTTTTTGAAGATAAATATGGTTGAAAACGACTCTTTCAAAAATAGCATGTGATAAAGATGATAATTATATAGATATAAATGAAATTGGAATTCTTAGACAATTTGGTATTTAATGTCCATAATGCAGTGTTAAAATCAAGTTTTTAGCGGAATTTTATGACATAAACTTTCATAATTGGAAAACCAATTATTTAAATCAATTAACTCAACTAAAGGTTCCTCGTTTTATGTAATATACTTTCCTTATTTTATATCATTTAAATTTTTTATTTTATAATTTTATTATGTTAATGCTTAAGGTGTTTATATTTTTATTTTATATTTGTACTTTCAGGCCAAATGTTAAATGGGTTATATTTAAAATTCAAGGCAAAATTGTTCTGAGAACTGTAGTTATTTGCATGAATATAGTTTAACAGTATATGATATAATAGCTTTCTTTATTTTTTCATGCAATATATGATATAATAGCTTTCTTTATTTTTTCATGCAATATACATAATCACAATCTTTAAGATTTTTTTGATATCAAAATTAAAACTAAAAAAAATGCAAAAAAAAAAAGCTGAAAAACTGTTTTATTATGAAACTTATGTTTTACCTTAAATTTAAACTAGTTTTATTTTTATTATTTTTAGTTTTACCTTATATTTAAAACAGTTTAAAAACAGTATAAACAAAGTTTTATTTAGTTTTACGTTAGTATTTAAATTTTACTTTTATAATATATCTGTACCTTAAAATATATAATCAATGCTGCAAAAAAAACACCAATACTTTGGACAAGATCTCCAAGAGCATGGATAAAAGCTGCACGAACATTAAGGTCTTTTCTTACTTTTGATTTTGTTTTTTGAATAAGTAATACATTTTCATTATTTATAGATAATTCATTAGAAACATTTGGTGATCTTTGATCTTGTGAACTTGAAACACCATGTGAATGATTATGACCACCAAGACCATGCGAATGACCATGTCCAGTCTTGGCTAAAATTATTCCTAGTCTAAACACAGTGTTAATTAAAGCTTTAAACAATGCAAAAAATAACACTGGAAAAAAAAAAGATAATTAAACATTACAAAAAGTATAAAAAATATTACAAATATTAAACCGACCAACCTACAGCGGTTGGTAAATATATTTATAATTATCATTTAATTATTTTTCTAGTTTTCTATGTCAAGTTTGTTTTGTTTAATAAAGAAGTAATACATAATTTTATTTCGTTTTATAAAGAAGTTACAGCAATTGTGGTATGATTATTAATGAAATTATATAATGTTTCAAACTGTAAAAAATAAAATCAGTTTTAAAATCTACTAACCACTTTATCATTATCATCATATCATCACCATCATAATTATCATTATAACTAATTTTCATCAATATTATAACAATAAAGAAATTCTAAAAGTGTCTCTTCTATCTTTATTGAATTTATAAAGCAAACTTTTTTATACAAAACTATGGAGTATATAACAAGACTACAAATTAACATCCATCTAATTAAAGTTTATCCATGGGAGAATAAAAATCCATAATAAGATCCATTAAAACTCAAAACTACTAAGTTTTTAGACATTGAATTTTATTGTAATTAAGTTAAGAATTTTCACTATTTATTAGTTAAGAACTTTTTATTTATTTCACTATTTATTCACAGACAATTTATTAGTTAAGAACTTTTTATTTATTTCACTATTTATTCACAGACAATTTATTAGTTAAGAACTTTTTATTTATTTCACTATTTATTCACAGACAATTTATTAGTTAAGAACTTTTTATTTATTTCACTATTTATTCACAGACAATTTATTAGTTAAGAACTTTTTATTTATTTCACTATTTATTCACAATTTTTATTAATAAATACTTTTTATGACTTAATGACAATGCATTCATCAAAATCTTCATTTTTTAACATACAAATTATAATATTTAAAAAATATATACAAAGTACCAATAAAAATTAATTTTTATTGGTAATTTGTAAATATTTTTATTGGTACATTAACTTAGTGATTTTTTTTTCCACACAACTCACGTCACTTAAATTACTTGATTTATATATAATTTTTCCACACAACTCCGCATTACATGATTTATGTATAGTTTTTCCACACAACTCACATCACTTGATTTACGTATAGTTTTTCTACACAGCTCACATAACTTAAATTACATGATTTATGTATAGTTTATCCACACAACTCACATCACTTAAATTACTTGATTTATGTATAGTTTTTCTACACAACTCACATCACTTAAATTACTTGATTTCGTATAGTTTTTCTACACAACTCACATCACTTAAATTACTTGATTTACATATAGTTTTTCTACACAACTCACATAACTTAAATTACTTGATTTACGTATAGTTTTTCTACACAACTTACATCACTTAAATTACTTGATTTACGCATAGTTTTTCTACACAACTCACATCACTTGATTGATGTATAGTTTTTTTACACAACTCACATCACTTAAATTACTTGATTTACGTATAGTTTTTCTACATAGCTCACATAACTTAAATTACATGATTTATGTATAGTTTATCCACACAACTTACATCACTTAAATTACTTGATTTGTGTTTTGACTCCTCCTTGTTCTCCTTCAGGTGTTTCAGACTTAAGTCAGATCATGCTATGATCTCACTAAAGCATTTATTTCATACTTTTTACCTTAAGGAGTAGTATTTATTTTATGATTTTCTATGGCCCTTACACTGATGACTTTTGTCTCTTTATGAAAGGTTTCTTCTTCAAATCAAGATAAAAATCCCTTATGCTAGGGTCCATTAATTTAATTTCAGATTTCTATTTTATATTTTATTTCAGAAATTTTATATTTTATTTCAGAAGCTAACAATTTAGAGACTTCTCAAATATTTTCAACAATATCATTAACAAAGACAACTTTCTCATACATCTAATCTTTTTACCTTCTAGACAATTCTAGCAATCTCTTTTTTTTTAGCGTCTTTTTACCTTTCTGAAGCATAAATTAAATTACTGCAAAAAGCTTTCCTGAAAGGTTTTTGCAAATAGTTTCAATAAAATAGTTAGTGATAATTATTTTGCAAATATTTTCAATAAAAACTTACATACTTTTCCATAAAATCTTTTCATATGGTGTATCTGGAAACTGTTGAATCTTTTTTTGAATACTGTGTTTGAAACTTTCAAACACAGTATTCAAGTCATGATAAGTGGAAAACAATTTTATTTTTACCTATAAAAATGATCTTCTTAAAGACCAGTAAAAAACAAAAACAAATAACAACTCTAAGTTAGAAAAAGTCATCACATTTTGAACTTTATGATCTCTTCTATGACAGATTAGGGCATGCAGTGGCCTGTAAATTTTAACATTTTTTAAAAACAATTTTTTTAACTGACCTCTCATATATACAATCCATTGCTAAGTTGTCCATAAGAGAACTGCTGTCATATTTAGGCTGGTTCTTCTAATGATGCTTTTTCTTTTTTAGACAAGGTCCTAAAATATATTGTAAATGTAGTTGATCTAGCTGCCAAGCTTGAGCCCCTCTCTCCTGTTGTCATAAGGTTGTTGAACCTCTCTATCCTGTTGTTGTAAGGTTGCATCTTTCCTCTTTTGTACAAATACTATTTCTAATAGTCTCTAAAACCTAATTTCTGAAATAAAATATGAGATTTAGTAATCTTAACATCCCAGGAGGAGCAACAATCAGCAGAGACTAACCAGCCTTAATGAACCAAAAAAATTACAATCAAAATTAACATTAAAAAGAGAGCAATATTGGGAAGAAAGAGAACAATAAAAAAAAGGAAGAAATTGAGTGTAGACCTGCCAGTGAAAAGTCCAAGGTGATGAAAAGAGTGTAGAGTGATTGAGTGTAAAGATGCCCATTTAAGAATAGACAGAGGATTCTTTTTTATCTATAGAAATAAAGTCTGGTTTTAACCTGTGCATTTTTTTCTCCTTTTTACATATTCTGATAATAATTTGTTCCAATCAGCAGCACAAGTTTTATTAACTACTAAAAGTACCAAAAGTGGTACTCAATAATAAGCAGCAGTAGCCTTTGGCTTTATAAACTTATTGTTAGTGTTTTTCACAAATGAAAGTTTTCGTTACCTTTTTAAATAAATCAGAAGATAAAATTTTCAAAAGTTTTTTAAAAGTTGAATCATGACCATAAAGTTTAAAATCATTAAAAAAAGTGTTCCTCTCTTTAATGCTTTTAAACTTTTACAAACTGTTTTTAATTAAAAAAAAACCTTTGTAACTAAAGAAAATTTTTCCAAGCAAAGAAAAACCTTTTTTATGTTTTCTTTGTTCTCTTTCTTATGTACAATAGTGACCTGCAACTTTCTGACAAAAAGTAAAAAACCCTTTATTACATTTTTAAACGCATAATCACTTTTTTTTATATGGAAACTAAAAACATCACAACAAATTTGTTATGTGAATTTCTAATAGAACTTTTTAACTAGTTTCAATAGAACTAATTTCATACTATTATTATTATATATATATATATATATATATATATATATATATATATATATATATATATATATATATATATATATATATATATATATACACACACATATATATATGTATATGTATGTATATATGTGCGTTTAATAAAAAATATTAAGTTATTTTAAAACATATTTTTCATCCTAAAATGAATTTCAAAAATTTAACTTTGGCAAAATTTTTAGAAAGTAAAAGTCACAAAAATGATAATATTCAACTTGATTAAACAATTACTTGATGACTTCACTAATAATTCTTTTTTTTCTTTTTTTTTTAAACTCTTTTTTATTATTTTGCTTTTCACTTAAACAAAACAATTGTTTTTAATAAACATTTATTTCTTCATTGTTTATCTTCTTTTTTTTTCATACATTTTTTTTAAATTTGACTAAAATAAAAACAATTATTACTGAAAGTATTAAAACTTATTTAATTTAAAATAACTATTGCATTTTAAATGATCAAACTTGGTTAAAAACTAAAAAAAAAATGTTGAATAAAGATTTCTTTTTTATTACATAAAAAAACTATTTTATTGAGTAATATTTTTTAAGTGCATTTAATTGTACATTTATTAACTGAATTATTTAGGAATAAGCAAAGTAAATGAATATATATCGACTTATTCAAAAAGTCATAAGTAAATACATATCGACTTATTCGATAGGGGCAGCAGAGTGAACATATACCGACTAAGATGTTTAGCCATAGAGGCAGCACATACATCAACTGATTTATTTAGCCATTGGCGCAGTGAGCGTACATTCATCACCTTCAGGTTTTGGTTAGGGAGTTAGGGTACTCGTTTAATGAGTTTTTAACTACTTTAACAAATTTAATCAACTTTAACATATTTTTTTAGTAATATAAACTTTATGTTCCTAAAAGTGTTGGCTTTAATCAAGTAAAATTATTTAATTAACAAAATAAATTATTTTGTGCGCTTAAATTAATTAATCAATTAGTTTAGACAGCATCATCCAGTTAAACATTTTAATATCAATCCATGTCTTGCTTTTAAAGAAAGGTGTTATTGTTATGCTCTTAATATAGTTTATAAAGAAATAATTAATTTTATAAAATACTGACATAGTAAACTGATTTCTACATAAGAAATGCATTAAAATATTGATGATGTTATGTTGTAGATGCTCCAAACCTTATTTTTAACTTCTAGAACTTTTTTAAAATTCATCTACTTGCTTTACTAAATTAAACGAAATCTTTTTTTTTCTACCCGAAGAAAAATTTTATTAAATTTTTACATTAAACAACTACTTTTTTTTAACTAAATTTTATTTTTTACTAAATTAATTTTTTTTAAATAATAAAATTGTTGTGTAAAAAAAATATTAAAAATAAACAACCTATACTTAACCTAACTTTTTTTTAAATCAGAAATTATTCACCTGATTTTTCATTTGCATGTTTTCATTTAAAACCACACTTTTAACTTTTTGTTCTTTATTGGTCTCCATAATCTCAGAGTTCATTGACACTTGCACAAAAAATTATTTTTTCTATTTAAGACCCTTACAAATTACAAATGTTTAAAAATAAATAATAATAAATTTAAAGAAAATAAAAAGTAAAAAAATTGAAAAGAAAATATTTGTTATTAAGTACCTATTTAAACAAATTTGTTAAAGTAAAATTTTTCAAAGATGAGAAAAAAATAATTAACTTTGTTAACTGTAAAATATGTAAAATATGTAAAATATTTAACTGTTATGTAGTCAAGCAACCAAACAAATTTAGTCTAGCAACCAAACATAAAAGAGCTCACATTTTTAAACAATAATTATGAAAGAAACTTACACGATATTAACAACTACACCAACTCCAGATGTAATCAACATTACAACAGGATCAAGTTCATAATTATGATTCATGACACGTTTAATAGCTTCAAATACAAGAACTCCAGTCAATACCCAAATAATCAGAACTGATAGGAAGGCACCCATTACCTCTAAATATAAATTAAAATTTAAATTAATCATAATCAAATTATAATTTAAATTACTGAATTTGAAAATTAATATTAATAAAATAAAAATCGAAATAGAAATCAAGTTATATACTTAATCATCAATCATAGTTTTCAATATGTTAATTATTAATATATTTATATATTAATAATAATATCAATATACTCAGGGCTGAGCTTATTATGATATAAAAATAATAAAATTATGGTAATTTGTCTGTTTTATTATTTAGACTAACAGTTGTTAATGTCTGTTAGTCTAAAGAATAAAATAATCTAAAAAGTTTTGGCCAAAAGAGAACGAGTTTATTACTGAAAACAATTTTTTTACCTTGTTTTCTGTGTAACATAAGTTAAATGGTATCATTTAACTTATGTTACACAGAAAACAAGGTAAAAAAATTGTTTAGACTTTTAGGTCAGATTTCTGCAAATCAGTAAAGTGGTTTGTATTAGAAACTTTCACAAGATGTTGAGAACTCTATACCAATTTAAAAAATATATAAAAATTCATCAGAGGTGACTGGCTAAGGTAAATAAACTGGTTTTTTGATACTATATTTAACTGTATATATTTGTATATATTTAGTTTACGTTATATCACTTACATTACCAAGCAATTATCATCATGGATTTTTTATATCTTTTGTAAGGCATTAGAGTTACGTAACATAAGATTGTAAAAGTATTGAACTCATTCATTAAAAATAATTAACAAAGGAAATAGTAAAAAATTGGTGGCACTCTTTCTGAGTGATTTTTCATAACATGAAAAATCACTCAGAAAGAGTGATTTTTCATGTTATGAAAAATCGCAAGACCAAGAGCAACTTTAAAAAATTAATAAAGTATTACAACTTTTTAAATACTTATTTGAGTCATTTAAATAAGAAAATCTTTAGTTTGTTGAAGTTTTTACTTACACTTTTTATGTTTATGCGTATTGCCTTATTTTCATTATGTTGAATTTTTAAAATGCTGCAAAGTATTTACATTTAAATATTTTAAAATATTTTTGATGTAAAAACTTCTATCACAATTTAGGAGGGAGGGGTTTAGGTATATGTGATTGTTTATGACAGGAGTAGTTAAAAGGAATCCCAAACTCCCAACACATGTTGCGTTCGTATTAAAGATAATGTTAAAAAAAAAGGTTTGAACCAAGTTTTTTTGATTAAAAATAAATAATAAATGCATACAGAGAAAAACTAACGTTGTTGTTTTAAAAATAAATAATGAATGCATACCGAGAAAAACTAACGTTGTTGTTTTAAAAATAAATAATGAATGCATACCGAGAAAAACTAACGTTGTTGTTTTAAAAATAAATAATGAATGCATACCGAGAAAAACTAACGTTGTTGTTTTAGCTCGCCTTCTCCATTTTTTTCAATAACTCTGAGTCTTTAAATTATATGTTGCAATCTACAGACTTTGGCGATTCCTTTGAAGCGCATTTAATTCATAAAAGCTTTAGCATTTGACGTCACAGTAGGTTTTTAACAAAAAGTGTAATTGAACAAAGCTACTTTAATTCAAAAAGTACAATGTAGTAATTTTTTAACATACAGCAAAACAACTTTTACAACAAACTTTTGTAAAAATCAAAAATAATAAAAGTTTTTTATTTCATAGGAGGAACTTTTTTTTTACCGATATCTTAATAATTTTTAGATTTATATATCTTACTTATAATTCTTTTTTTTTTAAATTGAAATATATATTAAAGCTTTACTTATGAATCTTATGATTTTCATACAAGTGTTTTACATTATATAGAATGTTATGTATACGGTCTCTCATTTTTGTGCAAGAGAGCGCAGTATTATATATTCTGAATCTTACTTAATTTTATTTAAACAATGGGAACTTTTTTGTAACTTCTCTGGTTATTTTTATGCTATGACATTTTTTGTTTTCCCATCGAAAAAAAGTATTTATCAACAATTAATCTCATAAACTGACAGTATTAATTAGAGATATTTGATGAATTGTTAACTTTTTTTATTATAATAATTTTTGATTATGCTGATTTATTTTAAATTGCTAAATTTGCTGAATTGGATACAGATAAAAAGGAAATATCATTTTATTTTAAATTTGATTTTTGATAATGAAACTTTTAAAATGTCTGCAACTCCATACCAATTAGAACCTGTTGAGGTTATGAAAAAAAAGTACAAGAATATAATAAAGAATACAGTTGACAGTAGTATGAGGTATGAAAGTTCGTGAAAGGATATGTGAGATCCTGGTTTTGCATTAAAAGTACAATTAATAGCAACACAAGTCGACATTATAAATTTTGATTATAAGTTTACTGTTCAATATTTTATAACCATCAAATAAAAAACATGAAGTTTGTATATTGTCGCTTGTTTTATACAATTAATTTTTAAGAAAAATACGGACAAATTATTATTAAATAACGCAATAATTATCACATTAACTAATGGCAATAATTCTAGATAGATGGTAATTTAAATTGTCAAAATGTCATAACGCGCGTTAAAAAACATATTATATTTGGTATTTTATATTTATTGTCGTATTTGGTATTTGTCTTTTAAATTTTTCAAAAACAAAATTAACAAATACACAATTTAAAGCAATTTTCTCTTCCAATTCTCGTTTATTCAAAGAAAAGTTTAAACTTTTATTTCTCTTATCTAAAAAAAGAACGAGTGGCGTAAAAAAAAAAATATATTCTATACAACTCTTATTCATTCGAAGTTTAATTACACAAAACTTTTCTTTCTCTTTTGTTCTACTCTTTTATAAAAAGAGCAAGTGATGAAATAAAAACTTTTCTTTCTTAACATAAATTTATACTTTAAGATAAAATTAAATTAGAAATAAAGCAACAATGAACAAAGCAACTAACAGATTAATCTGGGACTATTTTTTGATATTAATGAAAATAATCAACATAAACAACAACAATAATTAAATAAACAACACAATATCGCATAATTTTAGGGGCTTTTTATTTTTATTGCTTAGTCGTTCTAAATAATAAGTAAATTTAGTTCAAGTTAATATTTCAATATTTACAGTTGCAATATAATAAAGAAATGATGTTTAATGTTGAACTTTTTATTTAATGATTTATTTTTTACCTACATTTGTTATAAAAAAACTTTTAAACCCCCGTCATTAAACTAATTTTTTTCGCTTGACTTCCTGAACTTCATGCAAAGCAAATTGAGACAAAATATTGTCTAACCAAATAAAAATACTGTTACTAATTTTATAAGGGTAATTAATGTAAAACAATTTTTTATCAGAGTCTTGATCGAGATAATAAATATTCATAATTTATAAACATTAAATATATGGCGCAATAACAATTTATAGCAACGAACCAGCATAAAATAATTGAGGTTTTTAATATCTTTTTAAATATTAAAAATAGAAAAAAAAAAAAAACTTAACAAATAATCAAAAAAAGTTCGAATAAAAATAAATAAAAATATTTCTAGTGTTTCATTTGTTAAAAGTCTACTGTGACATCAAATACTAAAACTTTTATGAATTAAATGCACTTCAAAGGAATCGCCAAAGTCTGTTGATTGCGACGTATAATTTAAAGACTCCGAGTTATTGAAAAAAATGGAGAATGCGAGCTTCGGCTAAAACAACAACGTTAGTTTTTCTCGGTATGAATTCATTATTTATTTTTAATCAAAAAAACTTGGTTCAAACCTTTTTTTGTATATATATATATATGTAAAACAAAATAAGAATACATAAACAAATAAAAAAAGAATAATATAAATAATTTTAATTAACATTAAAAAATAAAGATTTTGTTCTAAATTCTCAGAATATAAAAAGTTTCAGTAAGAACCTTGTCAAACGAACACAACAAAATAAGAATTACTTAATGACATAATTCATTTTGTTAACGAAAAAAGCGCCAGAACTTTAGTAAATGCATGTAATTTTATTATGTTACACAAATGTAATTTTAACTTATGTTACACAAATGTAATTTTAACTTATGTTACACAAATGTAATTTTAACTTATGTTACAAATAAATAAAAATGTGCTTTAACTTTGCATTATTATTCAAAACTCTAAAAATGTAAAAATGTATCATTTAATATTCTTTCGCATATATTATTAAAAAACTTTTTATTTAAATATTAGAAAAAACAAAATTTTATCATGTTTTTGTTAAATTACGTTACATGAAAATTACAAAAGTTCTTTCATTATTTTCTTGAAATATATATTTTATTAAGTATAAAATCTGACCAACAACAGTTTGAACATGTTAGCTCCATTTTAGCTCCACGCTAAATTAATTCCAATTATCCAAAATAAGTTCATGGTTAAAACAACATTTTACAATGATTTTATTATTTGACAATGAGAAAAACCATAACTTTCAAAAGTTTAACTTTAAAAATGACTTGAATAAATTTATTGTAGTACTAAAGGTATATTTTCAACAAAAACTTTCATGTGTCTACCTCAATATTCATTTGCTCAAAGTTGACGAAAAAGAGAATAAAATTTGACTACTTTTTCATTTTCCGTCGTGGAATTGCCCATATATATACACATGTATACAGGCCTTGTTTAGAAGCCTTTATGCTATTTGAATTTTACGTACGTAATGGCAATTTATATTACGCAAAAACTTTTTTTAATTAATTTTTTTAGTTTAATATTATTTAAACAGTCTTTTAAACAGGAAAATATTAAGCTGTAATTAATTGTTGTAAAAAACATTTGTGGAATATTTTTTATTAGATAAAAAAACATAAAAATAAGCTTTTTTCTATTTTCTGTTTTTTTTTTAATATGTATTTTTGATTTATTTTAAATTTAAATTAAATTTATTATTAATTATAATTAAATATAAATTTAAATTATCAAATTCAATTAAAATTCTTTTAAAAATTTCAAAATGCTCAATTTTACATTTTTTTTTTTACTGCTTTTCAAACTATGTTATTTTCAAACTATGTTAAAGTAAAAAAAAATTGATAAATTTAATTCAAGTTACTTTAAAATGTTCGTATTACATATTATTTTACATATCTGTTTTAAAATGACCTTTTAACAAAAGTTTTTTCTTTATCATTAATTTTTTGAATTGATCATAGACTGAACGTCAATTTAAAATGTTCAGTTTATGAGTAGTAGGCAAAGATTTTTTTTGCCAAAATGTTAAAAAAAAGGTTGATAGTTTTTTTTTTTTTTTTGATTTTTAAAATGAAAAACTTTATAATTTTTAACGTCGCTTTTTTCTCGAAGGTAAAGTCCCGGCTCTATGATTTAAAAAACAATAAAAATACTGGTCTGATTAATGCACTTTTGTAGTTAATAAATGATTTCGTCAAATACCGGTCAAATTTTCAAATTATAATTTTTACGAATTTTCAGAGTTATGCAATCAAAATCTTACTCATTTTATTTAAATTCAGTTTATTTCACGTTAGTCTAATGAAGTTTCTTTCCTTATTATTTATTTCATCGCAGATTTTTGTTTTTTAATAAAATAGTTTCAATTTAATATTGTATGTTTTTTAGACTGTAAATTTTCATGCTGTAAATGCCAACACTTTTTATTATTTTTATTTTCAATTTGACAACGGCTTTTTTGATGTTTTAACAATTTAAATGCAATAAAAAAATCATTACGTTACAAATAACTAAATTATTGATCTATTTAAAAGTTTTTATTAAACGCAAAGGCTTTAAATATTATCAAAAATTAACTATAATAATCGTTTAAAATAAACACATTATGTGTATACTTTTTTAGCTATGTATTTTTTATGATAATTTTAGACGTTTAAAACTATTTTTCCTTTAGTCTTTCTAAAAATCTTTTAAAAGATTTTTTTTTTTAAGTTACTTTAAATTATGAATAAGTTAAGTTGAATCTTTCAATGATTCATAGGAAGATTTGCTTTATTATTTTTTTTTTCTATTTTTACAAAAAATTGCTGAAATTTTTTTTGTTTTAAACATGACTTACTAATTAAATCATGAAATGATTAAAAATTACGATTTCAAAAAGATTATGTTTTTTTTTTTTTAAACAATTTTTTTTGCAACTTTTTGAAAAAAAGTGTTTATACTGCTTAAAAATATTTTTTTTCTATTATTTAATTTCACTTATCAATAATTTTAATAACATTTGTTCATTTATTAAACAATCAAAGGGAGCAAGGGGCCATCCATAAAGGACATCATGCTAATAATGGGGGAAGAGGGTCAATATAAAAAAGGCAAAAAAGGACATGGGGGAGTGAGGTCATCAGAAAAGGACATCATGTTATAGAATTTTTTATATTTTAGTTTTAATAACATATACCAATTAGGCTATATTAGGCCTAAATATACCATTTCAGCCTTATTTATTCACTTATAATTTTTTAATTACTTTATAAAGAGCTTCAAATCGATGGATGAGCTTGGTGCCAAGCTCGATAAGAGATGCTACGATATTAATAGAAGTGCTTTATATACTCGATTAATACCAAAACAGAACAAATTATTTAAAGGAAAGAGACAGGTCCACACAATTCCAATCAAATTAATGCAAGCCCAAAACGATCTTCATTCATGTCAAGTAATTTTTTGTGCAGTAACTATAAGGAATGTGGAAGACTATAAGGAATGTGGAATGTTTGCCCTTTTTTAGGCCCCAAGGAAGTTTGCTTTATTATTTATTTTTTAGGCCCCAAGGAAGTTTGCTTTATAAGTCAATAAAGCTCGGATCTACATTCACCACTGCTAACAAATAAGCTCTGATATTAATGCATATGGAATATCAATTTCTCTTCATGATCATGATTTGATCATCGCCGCAAAGCACAAGCTCACCCCGTCTCTCTACGCAGGCATTGCAATCAGACCAGATGGGCTGGAAAAATTTGACGCAGTTTCCTATTTTGGTTCCACTTATATTGCAGTTTGATCTGAAAAGCATTTATTGCTGACAGCTTATGCTTACAGATTAAACTTTGAACAATTTTAGATTCCGCCAGAGTTCGATTACATTACAAGTTGGTTGTCTTCAGGGTTAATTTAGCGGGATTAATTCTCCCTCATGATCATTATGGAACTCATCTAGACTCTTAAGGAATTCAAATTTATTTTTAATATCAACAGTTCATCAAAATATAATATATATAGCAAGACTTAAGGAATTCATTATCTGCATTGCAACTTATATTTAAAATAGGACAGTGAATCTTCTTTTGGAGAAAACAGACTTTTGGTTTCGCTGGAAAGATCTGGGCCTCGATCTTTTCAGGTCTGATGATTGATCAGTTTCTAACGGTGGTTGTGAATACCAATCCAGAAGGCAAGACGGAGCTTGATGCTTGTCATTTCTTATAGAAGGATCAGGGATGGTTAGCCTCTCATGTGCGCACCAGCCAATATTTCATGCAAATTGTGAAATGTAAGGATTAAAAACGTAACAAAAAGTAATTTTAACTTCAAGTTTTTTTTAGTTTTATTTTAAAGCTAATTTACTTTATTTTCCTTCATGAATTGTTTTGCTTATTCTTTAGTTTTTTTAATTTTTTTGCTAGTTTAAGTTTAGCTTAACATATCTTTTGTCAGCGCATTTCTAAAACGTTCAAATCATCAAAACATCTAAACAGTTGTGGTCAAGTTGGAAACAAAAAAAATCATTTGCGTGGTCAGCAATAGCGTTTGATCGCACGCCATTCCTGTCTTAGCTTTGTTTTGTATAATTTATTTCCTGTCGGTCAAAATGTCCGATTACTTTGTAATTTGATGGGACAATTTAAGGTTTCACATTTTATGTAGGAAATGGCGATTTTACCTAAGGGTTAAGCCATTACACCAAAACTCTTAACAATTGTTTTATGATATAGTTTAAGCAGCATTTATTAAAAAAAAAAAGTGTTTTTTTTAATTAAAAACATAATTAATTGTTGTAAAAATATTTTCACTTTATATGTGAAATAATTTGTTTTTTTGCTAAAAAAAAATTTAAATTACTTGTTAAATAAATTTTTTTATACTTGAAAATTCTGAATAATTTAAAATATATTAATTAAAAGTATTTCAAATAAATAATCCATAGAATAAGTTTTTTTTTAAATAAAGATTGAATTTATTTATTATAGTTTGTAAATTTTTTGTTTTTGTTGGAAACATCATTTGTATTGAAGTAATAATTTTTTTTTTTTCATTGGAAACATTTCTATTCGAGTACTAACTTTTTTAAAGTAAATAAAAAATTTTAATGCAAAGTTATACTTATTTTATAATATTTTTTACTCAATATTTTTTTTATAATATTTAATTTTAACTATGATATCTAAATTAAATAAATAATTTTTTTTTTAATTAGCTATGCAAAGTTAAACATTGAAAGTATTACCAAGATTTCTTACCTGCCCTATGCCAACCAAAAGATAACTTTTTAGAAGGTTTTTTAGTGCCAAGCCACAATGCAAATAAGCTAATCATAAAACTGCCAAAATCTGATAACAAATGAGCAGCATCAGTCATAATTGCCAAACTGTTTGAAAAATATCCCCCTAAAAATATTTTGTATTTTACATTTTTTATATATTAGTATTTATAAGTTATTTAAAAAAATCAACAAGTATTTGAACAAAGGTGACTTGATATCTGTTTTAAATATAAACAAGATAACTTTTTTGTTTTTCTAGTTAATTAAAATTTTGCTGTTTTGAATCTGTTGGTAATAAAAAAATTTGATGAGCTGTTCAATTTATAAAGGAAACCATGAAAAATCTTTTTTTTCAAAAAAAACATCAGTTATTCAAACTTTTTTTTGTTTTTTTTTGTTTTCTATTTGTTATTTAGGAAAAAAATTATGAGGATTAAAAACGTAACAAAAAGAAATTTTAACTTCAAGTTTTTTTAGTTTTATTTTAAACCTATTTTAATTTCCTTCATGAATTATTTTGCTTATTCTTTAGTTTTTTTAATTTTGTTGCTAGTTTAAGTTTAGCTTAACATTTCTTTTGTTAATAAAATCTTAACAAAATCTTTTTTTCAAAAAAAACATCACTTATTCAAACTTTTTTTTTGTTTGTTTTCTATTTGTTATTTAAGAGAAAAAATGTGAGGATTAAAAACGTTTTCTATTTGTTAATACCATGCATTTTTTAAATAATTATAAGAAAAAGTAATTTTGGTCTTTTTGGTCTTGGGTTTTTGGGTACAAACCCTGATTGGAATGGATATTTCTTGGACAATGGACTGTCGTTGCCAAAAGTAAATTACAAAACTTGTTATTTTAGCTTTTTAAATAATTAAAAAAATATTAGTTTTCATAAAGTTATTGGAAATAAGTTCAAAAAAGTTAGCAAACTTTAATTCAATTACTAAGAATTGGTTCAGAAAACGTTGAATAAAATTATAAATGAAGCACTAACTTTGATTTTAATTAACTAGATTAATTTTAAATTTAAACCAGTTTTTGTATGAGATTTTATTTCATCTTCACATTTAAAATATATTTTTATGATACATTTATCTGCTTTATAGTCAATTATGATTTTAAAAAAACAACATGAAAGTTTATCGTTGACATCACTGTTTTTGAAATTTTCTTTTGACTCAAGCAGTCTTAGTTCCATTATTAATTTGATCATTGATTTTTCTAAAATAATTTTTCAATTGAGCCCAATACATTTCTATTGGGTTAAACTCACAATAAAACTTAGGAATTATTTTTACATCCATCTTTTGATTGGCATAAGTCGCGGGGTAAAGCATAAGTGGCGATGACGTTTGTCTGACGGGATAAACTAGTTATAAATGCTGATTCTCATCGAAACGCCAGTAATAATAGACGCGACTCTGAGGAGATGTTTATTACTTAATCACTACACAAATTATGTTTACACATTAGCATTAATGCTTTTTTTTCCATTATTAAATGCCTTTCATTTTTGTTAGCATATTTTTTATTTTGTGATCCGTTTTTTATTTTATAAATTTTTGTCTAGTGATGTATGTCTTCATTCATATTGGTGTTTATAAAACAATTTTTTTCTTTTTTTTTTCTTTTTAATTAATTTTTATTTTTATTGTTATTATTGTTGTGGGTGTATAGCCTGTCTTATTTATTTTTAAATATTCCTCTATTAATCTTTATTTTTGTCTTGACAACTATCAAAATATGCTTTGTCTAATAAATAATTCTCCTTTATTCTAATGTACTTCATTTCTTCCCTCAGGCGTTCACTGCTCGTGTGTGACCATTCGGCGAATTTTATATGCCAAAGTTTTTAAATAATATTGGGTTGAGCTCACAATGAAACTTAGAAATTATTTTTACATCCATCTTTTGATTGTGCTCTTGTGCATCATAAGAAGATGCTTTTATTCTTAAGTCAGCAAAAAGAATGTCTCAGGTTTTCATCTGTAAGTCAATAATTTCCATTTCTTTGCATAACAAAAACAAGCCTTTAGAAACACCAATAAAAAGTGTCAGAAAGACAATTAACTGTTTAGATTCCGAATAATAGTTTTTTATGTTGCGGGCAAAATAATTGACAAATATTTTTTATATAAACCACGATACCTTCTCCTTTATGCCCATTTACAAATGGACAAGCTTTGTTATTTTACCAAAAAAATCCCCAACTAAATAGTAAGTTTTGAATTGCTTTATAGCTTCTGCTATATTGTGATATTTTGCCTTTATTTTGGTTCAATTTTCACCGTCAGAGAGTCGTTTGATTTTGACCCTTCTAAAAATGCATCAACTTCTTTTTGAATAATACCAATCCTAAATGACTATTTTTTTGAGAAACTTTATCAATGATGAAAGCGTAAATATGTTATCTTAAATTTAAATTAGATTCAAACATCAAGTGGTGATGGTGTTTAATCCATTAATCATTTAAAACAGTGTTTCTGAGCAGTTGGATAAGTTAATGTTCTCATGATTCTACTTACTTGGATTCATTGGAACTTTGTAAGTGCCAATAAGAGCCATAAAAATTGCAAGATTAAATAATCGTTCCATTTTAAATCCCCAATTTCTTTCACGCATTTGTAAACATTTTAGAGGAGCCATTTAGAATATTCTTCATCATTTTGTAATTGCCTACAGGTAAAACCATAATTCTAGTACTGTACACAATGGATTTACTTAACAGACTGGTAGACTTTACAGACTGGTAGACTTTTAAAATATGCATACTATTTTATAATTAAATTTATAACAAACGACACTTAAAACCATTTCAGTAAGCAAAAATAATATATCAGTAAATAGGTTTATAATATTTATGTAGTATATTTATATAAGTATATATAATATATATCCTAAACTGTTTTGTAGGAACATTAAGCCATTCTGGTAAATATTTAGCAGTTATTTTGGTGAATTATTATTTTGAACATTCTGGTGAATATTTAGCAATTATATTAATAAAGGAAGTTTTGGAAAAAATAAATCCTAACAAAGTTTTGGGCTTTGTGACTAACAATGCTGCAAATACGAAAATGCATGGACTCGTCTAAAAGATTGTTATCTCCATCTTCATCTTGATTGCTATGGATGCATTTCACATGGTTTAAATTTGGTGTTCATAGATTTTTTAAAATTGAAAACATTAAGTGTTTTAATGTCACAAGTAGCTGATATTGTTTGACTATGTAACTGTTAAGTTGGGTTAGTCATAATGAAGGAATAAATACTAACTAAATATATAATCTATATATAAATATTAGGAAGTGGCCATATTGACACACGTGCTATTACAACTCAGATTAACTACTTAATGGTCCGTAATTACAATAATAAATATAATGGCCGTGCAGATGACATTACTCTAACACATGATGTCAAAATCAAAATTTACAAAAAAAGTCAAGTTCCAAATACAACATCTTTAAATATTTTCATTGAGTCCTTTTTAAATGGTTTCGTAAAAATATCCGCTAAATTTCCGTTTTGATGATACATATTCCAAGGTTTACTTTCCATTATGAAGATACTCTCTTACAAAATGTATTGTATACCGATGTGTTTTGAACGTGAATGTTTCACTAAACTCTTCAATAAAGCATTTGAACCTTGGTTATCGCTTTTGACATTCACTGGTTCAGTAATTTCTACAAATAAATTTTTTAGGAATTGGGTAAGGTATGCTACCTCTTGAATGTGGCAGATATTGCCATATACTCAGCTTTGCATGTTGAAAGAGCAACAGAGGCTTGTTTCTTAGATTTTCATGCTATGATTGAACCACTCTGGTAAAGACTAAAACAATAGCGAGTAATACTTTTTTTGATCATCACAGGATGCTCCCCAATCAGCATCACAAAATGCATTCAAACTAATACTTTGTTGCATTTTTCTTAAAGATAAGGAATAGTCCAGAGTACCTTCTATATAATGAAAAACATATTTAAGCATTGATCAATCTCTGTTATTTGGTTTCAACAAATTTTGTGATAATTTTGTGACAACTACACTAAGGTCAAGGCAAGTATATATCATTGCATAAACTAAACTTCCTACCATTTCACAATAAAGTTTGTCTGAATTTATTTCATTTTGTGGTTCTTCATCATATGAATTTAGGTTCGTTTCTGGTGTTATTCAAGGTTTACAATCTCCCATTCTATATTGTTGTAATATATTAGGGAGGTAAACCTTTTGGTTCATAATTATTTTGTCGAAACTTTGAACAAAAGTTATTCCAAGAAAATTTGATATTTTTCCTAAATTTTTCACTTAAAATTTTTGGTTAAGTCTTTCTTTAAAATAGTTCATGGTTTTAGTCTAACTGGTGGCTATAATAATATCAACCCAAATTAAAATAAAAACTTTACAATTATTTTCTTTGTATATATAAACACATGGGTCGGATTCAGATTGAGTAAAACTCATTTCAATAAGAAAATCTTTTAATAATTTGTTCCATTTTCTCCCATTTTGATTAAGATCATAGAGTGACTTCCAAAATAATTCGCCATTAGCTTGTTCATAGGCAGGTGGTTGTGAGACATAAATTTCACATTCTATTGGAGCATGTAAATATGCACTTTTTGCATCCATTTGGTGTACTATTAGATTTTCATGTACAGATATATCTATTATTATATTTAACAATTCAATTTTAACTGTGTTTTTCCTTCAATTTGAGTGAAACCTTTTGCTACATATCGAGCTTTATATATTGGATTATTAGGTTCACCTTTCACTAAGTAAATCCATCTACCTCCCATTAGGTTTTTACCATTTGCCAAGGTAGTAAGAGTGTACTTAAGGTTTTCATTAAATGATTTTATTTCTTCATCTATCGCTTTCCTCCACTCACAGGCTTCTTCGCTTTAAATGGCATCACTGTAATAAGTGGGTACTTTTACAAAATAGCAGTAGTCATTATATTTAATGTAATCATTGCTTTCACAATTGTCAATAATGTAATCATTTAAATATTGTGGTGGTTTTCTCTGGGTTCCTACGGTTTTTAGTAGGTTGTAGCTTGGTATGTTAATGCTGATATTTTTGGTATAAGTTTTCGATTTCATCTTCATCAATAAC